AAACCTTATAATCCAAGATGAGGAACAAAGTCCATAGGCATCAAGTGTCAACACAGATGATTTGTTTGTAGAAGGTGCTGCAGAGTCTCTTTTGAGCTGCCACGCCCAGCAAATGTGTGAAATCTTGCAAGAGGCTCAGATACCCCTATCTCAGCAGAACTGATTAAACATTGTAGTGGATATAATTGTTCAATCCATACCATTCTCAAATAAAACCCTACAGCAGTGTCCATCCACTGCTTAAGCTGGCAGTTCTGTCTCTCATGAGGAATCAAACTGCTACCAGGGAGGAGGTCAGTTTTCTTTTCTCACGATATTTTCACTGACTACGCAGTAAAAAGACACAGGCCCGCCCAGCAGATTTGCTTTTCTGACTGTTTTAACACTTGTGAAGTGTTTTAAAGTTAAAAGTCCCAAATAGTTGTTTCAGTCTCCACTTGTTGCCATGGCCAGCACAACTGTTATTCCATAGCTGTGCTTTCTGCCAGATATGTCAGACCATGAGCAGAGAGTTTGTAGTCTGCTTCAAGTTTTTAATTACGTCTACATGATTTTGACGTTTTCTAGCATTTCAGAGCACTAAATTTTTGAAAAAGCTTCCATCCAGTGTACAGGGGGAAGAGAAGAAGAGTTTATAATATCTGTATTGGCACTTTGGTTTTGGTTGGGGCTCAGGTGGGTTGGCATGTGCTGGCATGGGACTTCTACTCAGCAGGTGGCAGTGCCGGAGACAGGATGGAAATTTGTCCTTCCCAGTGTCAGCCATGACCCAATTCTCTCTCTGAGAGGTTGTATGCAGGTGTTGATAGCTCAAGAGCTGCGAGGGAGCCACCTATAGCCAGATCCCCAATGACTTCTAACGTTCCCGTTGCTGGCTGCCTTCCAGAGAAGTGAGTCACCAGGCAAACTCCCCTTTGGGATCAGCTCTTGGGTGCTCCCAGAGGGATTTGGCAGTAGGATCCCATATTGCTCCTCAGACTTGAGGGTGCAGCAGATGGCTGAGGTGAATCCCAGGCAGTCAGGATGGTGGTGGCTGGATATGCCCTCGAGGACAGGCACCACTCGTGTCCTTGGCCTGATGACTCAACACAGGGGCAACGCCTACACACTGACTGTGGCTAACAAACACAGAACAGCTGGAAACATGTTGAACATGCTGTGGGGGGTCCCAGGTAGGGCGAGTTTTGTTGGTGCAGAGATTGACTGGCCAATGGCTCCTTGGATAGTCACCTGGTGTGTGACAGGAAGAGATCTGCACAGCTGTCTATTACCTGAGGCTGGGGAAAGATACATGGTTGGTTTGTGTCTGGTTTGGTTGAGAAGGAGATCATGGCTCTGTAAAGGTGAGTTTGTCCTGACCCACGGCAGGTTAGCAACTGCACCAGCAAGGCAGGGAGGGAGGAACTTGATTTTTGCTGGCTTTTACAATGTAGTGCATCAGATGTACCTGTCACAAATGCTGAGGCAAGGGAATTAGATAAAGAGTTCTAATGATCTGACAGACTCAGACTCAGCAAAGCAGGTTTTTGTATTCACTACTCTTATTCTCCTCCAGAAGAAGCTGTGAGTGACACACATAGGGGATTCCCACCATTCCCTTCTAACAGACTGAACAAGTGTGTATGTGTGCATTTGGGGTTTTTTAGACATGCTGTCACAAGTGTTTCCTATGGTTCAGTCATCTCCAATCATACTGTGGGTTCAGTGTTCAGCCCCTGGCCAAACTCTCCCTGTGGGACCAGCACTGCAGTCAGTGATGCTGGGAAGCCTAAAGCAATGGCCTTCCAGTTACAGAACCTGTGGAAGTATGAAGAAAGTTTTCATTTCTCTTGCAAACCTGGGGGGACTGAACAGGGCACCCACATTTCTGTGCATCCATGAAAGCTGGAAAGGAACCTTTTTCACAGCTGAAAGGTTTTGTGGTAGAATTTAATGATCACAGGAGGTGGGTATTTGCATGCATGTGTCATAGATATTTCTGGCTCTGGATGCAAGCACAAATACTATACTCTTGTATACATCCAATCTCCCTGCACAGCACAGCAGCAAAATTAAGCACAGAGAAGACAATGAACTTCAAAAAATTACTTATATTTTCTTTATATTACCTTAAAGATTATCTGTAATTTACAGTAGAGCCCTCTTTTTTATTCTAGACTGAAGCAGCAGGACTGATTTGTGGGTGTGAAAAGTGACAGTTTTCCTCAGTATCGCCATTGCAGAATGTGGAATATGTCAAAATTATCTTAGGTTGGGGTGTTCTTTATATACTTCAAGTTGGCTAATTAAGACTTTCCTGATCTGCAAGAAAGTGGAACAAACACTTAATTAGTGGAACAAGCAGTTAGCATTCCTTAGTCAAGGACATCCTGGAACTAATAAGCTACAAGAATGTAGTAAATCAAGATGTTGTATATCTAAGAATACATTGCCAACTTGTCAAAAGGCTCAAGGTCCACGTATCTCTTAGGGAAACCATCGTTATTATTTTACTGAAAATCATACCTATGAGGAAAAAGACCCTTGTCCAGATGAAGACCTCTCCTTTGGGCATGCATAGAAGTTAGATGGGATTACCTGACTTGTATGGAGACTACTAACCAATTGTAATAGAAGTGCTGCACTTGGGAAGTTGCTAACTCTGAACGTCTGAGCATGGATAAGGGTGCAGAAGGTCCTACTAATGTGCTTCACTTGTGGAAAACCTCCGTGCACACAGGCTGGCACAAATGTGGAAGAAAAACTCAATGTCTCTCTTGAATGTGTAATTATTGGCTTGTAGCACAGCAGGTAACAAACATGATTTTCTGGGCAACACTACCGTGCTTTGTGCTCCTCACAGAAGGGCTCATGCAGTGGTGGAGGACTCTGGCGTGAAAAGTGTGACACCAAAAAAATGGGGAAGCAGTTCAGGCACGTTTTTTGTCATTTATCTTTCAACAATTCATGTTTTTGAAAACTACTGAGGCATTATACAGCACTTAGAAATAACAAGACCATTTTACTGGAATATTTTGTCCCTTTTAGGGGAGCATGACATCTGCAAGTGCTTCAGGCCTTTGACTGCATAGTGTTACTTAAAATATAGGCTGTTTACAGTTCTGTGAGGAAAACAGCTGGAAAACATTTTCTTAAATTGCTGATGTGACATTTACAGAACTTTAGCAGAACTGATTCTGTTACAATTTTTAAGCTGTGAAATTGTTGGGGAATTTATTGCTTCCAAGAGCCATTTGCTATTCTTGAACACCATTATTTACGCTTTTTCACCAGTGAAAGCCTTCCTTGTAGCTGATGATATTGTACTCTCCCTGCTCATCTTTAATGAGGGAAGGGTGAAGGGACAGGATTTTAGGCACTAGATAATTCCTCTCTGCAGCCTTGGCTATCGTAGCTTGTGTGCACAGATGGAAAAGATGAGCTATGCTTGTTTTGTCTGGTGTGGCAGCAACTGTACCAGAATGCTGACGAATTTCGGAGGTGAGCTGGTTAAAATTCAGATTTCTCTCCCGTGGGGATTTTGTGACATTTTTACATAATTTTCACACTTCTGCAGAGGGGAAATGACGCATTTCTCTTGCAGCTTATGAATACAGTTTTGAGTCAAGTTTCTCCTAGTTTTCAGCAGCCTGCTTGAAGTAAGCTGGGAGACCCAGAGCCCTTACCTGGCAGGCACTTAGCTGAGGGACAGGCTCTTATGGAGCCCAGATACTTCTTACCATGACAGCAAGGAGGGCAGAAGGCTGGCATTTATAGGTATCCTGCAGGAACCCTTTCCCACTGGAAATTGTAATGATTTTCTATCCAGTAAAGTGTGAAAATGCTGAGATTTTAAACATTCCTGTTGACGTTTCAGAGCACTCATGTGGATCTTGGCAAATTTTAGCTGTTGTCTCTGGCATGGGAACCTCTGATAGAAACAGTCCATCCTTTTTCAGCCTCTCTGGCCCATCTGGAGGGAACCTCAATCTCTGCAGGCAGCAGCCAGAATCACTAAGCAATATTATCCCTGCTGTTGCTTATTGTACAGTCTTGTATTAAAGCTGTTCGTGACATTTGTTTATGAAGCAAACATTCCTACGCCCACTCCTGTTTTTGTTTGATCATGTAAATTATGGTACTTTGCAACTTAATTGCTGTGGGCTTTATGAAACTGCATTAAGGACTTTGCTAATTGTGGCCCTGCTCCCTTACTTCTTCTGGATGGATTTTGAAATTCTGTAATTGGGTGTATTTATATTTTGTAACTTTATATAAAGAAATGGCGGATTAACAGGAAAGACACAGGAAAAATCTGGCTCTGCACCAATACAGAGCTGTTTCTAGCAAAAAGTTTTGTCTTCAGAAGTGTTCTGGCAGTTTGAGCTGTTTTTCAGAACAGTGAGCCTGAGGAATCCTTTGTGGATTGGGAGCTGATAATTGGAGAGAAGGGTTCTACAGAAACATCTGAGCTAACCCACTTTATGGACTGTGGGTAACCTACCCAACCTCCCTGGTTTGATGTCAGAACCACCTTTATGGTGGGCCAGGGAAAGTTGCTTTGCCATGACATGCAGGAATTTGTGGGAAATAGTCAATGATGGGGGCCATTTGGACACATTAGCATTCGTATGGTAGGTCTGGCCCACTGCAGGACGACATCCTAGGGTATTGCTCTTATGGGGAGCAGAAAGCTGAATCCTTAGTTAGGAAACGCGGTCTCGGAAGAATTATGCCTGTGCATTGTCTTGGAATGGAGCACATCCACCAGTCATTATTTTCTACCTCTCTTAATGAGTCCAGATACTCATCTAAAGAAGCTCAGAAAATTACTTGAAGGCAGTCTTTCCACAGCTGGTTGGCCAAAGCTGAGGGCTGTGGATGGGACATTTGTATCTGCGTTACCCTATCAGCTTGCTTCGCCTGTTCTGTCACTGGCTCTACACAACTGTGAAAACTCTAACTTATGCAGCAATTCAGTGAATCAATTCTGCCTCTTCCTGATTTTCTATGCAGGATCCAGCCTTTCATGGTATAATTAAAACCACGAAGATGAAGAGCAGCAAGCAGGCCCGACAATTTGCAGAACATTCTTTTTATCTGGTAAAATGTATTTGTTGTTTTTAAACCCCGTTTCACAGTTTATCTAATTTATTTCTATTTTATCTACTTCACTGTGGAAATTAAATGCTGTGTTTTATTTGCTTGGCCAGGTTTTAGGAGTGGCAGTGGTGGGTGGGAGTGCGGGAGAGGAGCTACAGGGGTGGCTTCTGTGCGAAGCTTCCAGAAGCTTCCTCAGTGTCCAACAGAGTCAATGCCAGCCGGCTCGAGGACAGGCCCACTGGCCAAATCTGAGCCAAATAGAGAATAGCAGTAATGCCTCCCTGGTAACGTATTTAAGCAGGAAAAAAAGTTACTGCAAAGAAGCAATTGCAGCCAAGGAAGGCAGGAGTGAGAACATGAGAGAGGAACGACTATGCAGACACCAAGGCCAGTGCAGAAGGAGTGGGAGGAGGTGCTTCAGGTGCCAGAGTTGAAGCTGGAGGTTTTCTGGGAATATTAGGACAGGCCTCTGGCAATGTATTCAGGGCCTGTTGTGCATCCAACCTCATTCCTCTCTCCTGTGTTCCAGAAAAGCAGCGAACTGACACTCTGAGCAAGCACTGATTGGAGATAGCTCATAAGAATGGATGCAGTGAAGGTTTCAGGTGCGCCTCAGTTAAATCAGCCTGCTGTACCTGCCTGCCTGCTCCAGCTCAATGGCTCTGCAGATGCAGTGGTTTTTAGTTTGTTAGACCTGCTCTTCTGAAATGCTGTGCATGATTCCTCATTTTTCATTATACTTTTCATTTGCCTCCGGATAGTTTTGCAGTAAGACCTAAACAGTCATTCTAGATCTATCAAGATTATAATGATCCCATTGTTCTCATCAGTTTCAGACTGGGCATTATGTCTCCCTTGATCACTGTGGTCTCATTGCAGTTACTGCACGGGAAGTTTTCTTCTTGTGCAGTTCCTGACTTCTGCAATTGTTTGTAGCTGGGGCAATGCCACTGGCAGAGCTGTGAGGAACAAATTGGGCTGGAAAGGGGAAACTAGACCTCTACAGTGACCATCTTTATTTTTGCATGACAATCAAGTGTTAATACAGTTGTACACATACTCTCTCAGGTTAATACAATAAATAGTTTTATATTCGTGAAATCAACAGCAAATTCCAAGAACAAGTGGTATGTAAGTCTCTCTGGAAAAGCTGCACGTTTGCAAAGAGGAAGAAAGTAAGTATGTGACTTTTCTTTACCACCTGGTTGAATGACATATCCAAATCATCTTGTCATTAGCAGGGGCTGTCTGATTTCTTGAACTGTCGATCCGAAGACCTGAGGAGAAGCAGTATATAAATAAAACAGTGGGAAAATTCACCAGAAAATAAGACTGGACCTTAAATCTCTCGGCTTAAATCCAATTAATTGGTTGGATTTGAAGGAATTTGCATATGTATCTGTTGTTGACATAGAGATTTGATCCAAAAGTACTGTATGACCTGTGGAAACCTCTGCACCAAATGACAGATCTACAGCTGCAGCTCCTGGTTATAGCTATTTTGCATTCCGAGCCTGGAACTTGTTCTCAGGTAATGTGTTATTCTTGTCATTTCACCAGTTCTGTGAATTTGTATTGCATCAGTTAGGAAACCTGGAAAGTTATACAATATAATCAAGCACTAAAATGTAACACTTGAGTGATAATTTTAATATGAGGAACCCACTCTAATTTCTGATAGCTTTATTTGATTTGAATTCCTTTGAATAATAAAGAGATGAAACACAGGTCTCTGGGCTAGCTTTTTGATTTGAGAAGCCAGTGTGAGAAATGGCAGTGCTTATTTAATTCTCCCAATAATTTATTTTCAAATACTTTTAAATAGTTTTTTGTGTATCATAGTGAAAGATTGGAAGATTCTCTGTTTTACTCACTGAGACAGATTCTTAGTAAGACAAATCATGGTTTTCAGTGGAAAAACATCCAGAGACCTTGAAATTTCACTAATATACTGCAAAAAAATTTAAAATAACCAGTGACTTTATGTCCTTTGCCATTATCACTTTGAACTATTCACTACCATAAAGTGCTTGTTCTGCTTATTCTTGTGCCAAAGCTCACATATAGGGGATGACTTGTCCTTATCCTCATTAGCTTCTCTCTCTAGAGTTTGGAGGTGCCAACAGCTATTTTTGAACAGAAGTCAGTAAGACTGCTAGTGAAGGAAGGAAGGAAGGTGTGTCTGTTTCTGTCTTTGGTCCTTTTTATTTTAATTATTTTCTCCATTTTTCTTCCTCCTTTTTTTTTTTCCCAAAAAGTTTGTCTAGGCTTTCATGTTTCTTCAACCTCTCTGCTTTGCCTGTGTCCTCATCATGCCTCTCATGCATGTGAGGAGCGTAGAGGGACTTTCTATTTCTGGTCTAGGTGCTGTCACTCTGCCTTCAGGGCACTCTCGGTGAAGGGATGACAGGGAGGACCACATTTTCAATAGCCCAAACTGGAACACATCATGGATGTAGCTTGCAGGTCATGGTGTGCCTGGAGGAGACCAGGGTTTGCCTGCAGTGGGCAAATGAATTCCAGTAAGAAACTACAACCAGTCTTCGGAGGGAGAAGGCATCATTAGTTTTAAAATATGATGCCCTGGGGGGTGATCATTCACGGTCTAGGCACGGTGATATGCTGTAAAATAATTTTTGTTCCCAAGATTTGCAAGAATTTCACTTCTACTAGGCCAGAAAAGATTACAATGCTGAGAGATGATGCTTCAGCTGATAATGGAGGATAGATGTTCTTTGCCACCTTCTGAGCCCAGCACTCAGATCAGCACCGTTTGTCTGGCTGCTCTTGCTTACAGAATCATTCTTACTTCCCCTCTGAGTACTTGTCATTTGCATTTGCAGCTGCAGTCCTGTAACATGGGCATGTTGGGAGAAATTTCAAGCCAGACAGTACACCCAGGGCAGCTTAGGTGACTTTAGTAAATTGCTATTCCATCCAAAACAGAATTGTCCCTTATCAAGTATAACAACCTGTGTGCAAAACCTCTCCTAGAACCCAGGACATTTCTTGTGGGAGGATAGAAAGTGTTCTGAGTATCCCCTTTTAATGACTCTAGTGCAGACAAGGACGATACCTGACTAGAATTTTAGTAGCTTTACTTGCTTTGATTTAATTTTATATCTGCATCCAACACCTTTCAAGCCCACTAATATCCATTATAAATATCACTTCTTAGGAAACAAATGAGAAGGTAAAAAAAGGTAGTCTCAATGAATATAGGTAGAGGAGATGAGATAAGAATTAGATTATACTTCCTTTGTTGAATTTAGTGTTCTGCAAAACCTATTTATTTTGATTTAAATGCAGGTTTCATTGAATGGTTCTGCTTTTCTAAGAATTTGGCCATATTTCCCTTTGCTGCCATCAGGTTGACCATGCTGTGGAACAAAAAGCACATCAAACTCTAAGGAGGCCATCCTAAATCATAACTCCATTGTGACTGAAAATACAATGACACTAATAATACTCTTGTGCTGACTGTTTCCTTTCCTGAAATAAATGATAAAGTTTTTCAGGGAGCTGCATGTGGTTTTAATAATGATGTAGGTATTACACTAAAGTGGAAATGTGACTGTGAAGTGGTTGTGATTGCAAACAGGGATGCAAGAGTAAAGCCTCTGGAGGAACTGAAAAATGAAAAACAGAGTGGAAAATGTGAGTGTAGGAGAAAATTTCTCAATGCTTTTAGGACTCCAACAGGAAAACAAACAAAACTTTAAAGAGCATATAACAGCTCTGTACATGATGAATCAAAAGGAGGATAATCTGCATTAAACTACTTAAAGCATGCAGTTGAACTCTACATTCACTTTGCACCTGTAATATGAGCACTTTGAATGCAAGGAGAGAAAGGGGTTGGGAATCAGTTTTCATGTGATTTTTTTTCTGATTTAGTACTGACCTGGGCAAGCCCTCTCTAATAATGTACCTACGCCTCATCCTACATTTAGAGAATGTGGGAAATTTGACAGTAGACAACTTGGGATGTGTGTCCAGGCTTCAGTCTTCTTGGGAAGGCAACAGGCACAGACAGCTACTGAGCAAGTGAAACAGAGCAGGGCCCT